TAAGCAACAGGAGTAGAATGGTAGTATCTGTTGTTTAGTTGTAGCAACAGGAGTAGCAATGGTAGTATCTGTTGGAGTTGTAGTTGTAGCAACAGGAGTAGCAATGGTAGTATCTGTTGGAGTTGTAGTTGTAGCAACAGGAGTAGCAATGGTAGTATCTGTTGGAGTTGTAGTTGTAGCAACAGGAGTAGCAATGGTAGTATCTTGTAGTTGTAGTTGTAGCAACAGGAGTAGCAATGGTAGTATCTGTTGGAGTTGTAGTTGTAGCAACAGGAGTAGCAATGGTAGTATCTGTTGGAGTTGTAGTTGTAGCAACAGGAGTAGCAATGGTAGTATCTGTTGTAGTTGTAGTTGTAGCAACAGGAGTAGCAATGGTAGTATCTGTTGGAGTTGTAGTTGTAGCAACAGGAGTAGCAATGGTAGTATCTGTTGTAGTTGTAGTTGTAGCAACAGGAGTAGCAATGGTAGTATCTGTTGGAGTTGTAGTTGTAGCAACAGGAGTAGCAATGGTGTATCTGTGTAGTTGTAGTTGTAGCAACAGGAGTAGCAATGGTAGTATCTGTTGGAGTTGTAGTTGTAGCAACAGGAGTAGCAATGGTAGTATCTGTTGGAGTTGTAGTTGTAGCAACAGGAGTAGCAATGGTAGTATATGTTGGAGTTGTAGTTGTAGCAACAGGAGTAGCAATGGTAGTATATGTTGAGTTGTAGTTGTAGCAACAGGAGTAGCAATGGTGTATATGTTGAGTTGTAGTTGTAGCAACAGGAGTAGCAATGGTAGTATTGTTGAGTTGTAGTTGTAGCAACAGGAGTAGCAATGGTAGTATCTGTTGAGTTGTAGTTGTAGCAACAGGAGTAGCAATGGTAGTATCTGTTGGAGTTGTAGTTGTAGCAACAGGAGTAGCAATGGTAGTATCTGTTGGAGTTGTAGTTGTAGCAACAGGAGTAGCAATGGTAGTATCTGTTGTAGTTGTAGTTGTAGCAACAGGAGTAGCAATGGTAGTATCTGTTGTAGTTGTAGCAACAGGAGTAGCAATGGTGGTATCTGTTGTAGTTGTAGCAATAGGAGTAGCAATGGTGTTATCTGTTGTAGTTGTAGTTGTAGCAATAGGAGTAGCAATGGTGTTATCTTTTGTAGTTGTAGTTGTAGCAATAGGAGTAGCAATGGTGGTATCTGTTGTAGTTGTAGTTGTAGCAACAGGAGTAGCAATGGTAGTGTCAGCTGTAGTTGTAGTTGTAGCAACAGGAGTAGCAATAGTAGTATCTGTTGTAGTTGTAGCTATATTAAAGAAGTTTGGCCATGAAGAGTCTGAAAAACAGGATGACAGATTTAAAGAGAAAATTAGAAAAAAATATAAGTATAAAACTATATTTATATAAAAAAAAATAGGTTGTATGATAAAACATGAAAAATGGTCACAGTAATTTCCATTAAAGACATCTTTTAGGCACATGGATGATTTAGTGTTGAGTTATTTAGTTGCTGTCATCATTATTATTGTTATTATTAGTTATTGCAGTACACCCCTGCTGCTATCACCATGTTCTTATTTCTGACAGTCAGTTATACTAGAGAGATATAAATTCATATTTTCTTACCTGTCAGCTGTGTTATCTGCACATTGAAGAAAGAAAAAAGAAAAACTCCTGTAAAAACAAAGGAAATCAACATTCATCCCAAACAATTCAGTTCAATTTTATTTATAAAGCACCAAATCACAAGATCAGTCACCTAAGGGCACTTTATATTGTAAGGTAGAACCTACAATAAAACATAAGCAAACCAAAACATATATACTGTACATATGTACTATTTCTCAACCAGAAATATAAGAAAAGAGTACAAACCAAAGATGAGCAGTTTCATTAATCTTCCCTCCATGATCTGCAATTCAACACCCTGAATAAAATGTTGTTGTTTTTTTTTAAAAATCTCCATTTATAAATACATAATGTATAATGTATTTCTCTGAGTGTAGTCTTACCTCTTGGCTTTGTTTCCTCACTATGACAAAATTGTACCAGTGTATCTCTTTCCCCTTCTCCATTAACTTTGTATAATAAATAGTCCATAGCTTGGAGTTGTGTTTTTTGATTGTGCACTGAGCCAAAACATCACGTCTATGAACCGTGGCAAAGTGAGCAAATTGCTAGAGATGAATGTTAGCAGGGCACTTTGTCACGCTTGAAAACACATGTATGTCTGCATGTGTGAGTAAAAGAGACGTCTCAGACATTCAGATATATTTGGTTTGCAACTCACCGCAATTTGAATGATCTATGGTCAAGGCATTTGCTTAGTCTAGGTTAAGTTTTCTTAGCATTGCAGGATCATTCAAAACTTTGTTTGTTTAAAAACGAATCCGCACCAGGTCAGCTTCTTGTTTGTTTGCAATTTTCATTAGGAAATTTTTTTTATATCATCCTGACTACCATATGTACTGTATATTTGACAAGAGTAGAAAGAAGTAGAGCAACAATAAATATATTACATTTATCTTTCCTTCTGGCACAGATTATGGCTTTTTAGTGTTACACTCACAGAACACTAAGAGAAGCTAAAGGGAAGAGAGCCACACACAAACAAAGCTCAAAGATGTTTTAGTGGTTGTAATGGTTTGCTTTTATTGATGGGAGAGGCGTGAGTTTCTCAAAATGGGCTCAATGAGTGCAGCACGGATAAGATCTTGGAAAGGCTACGGCTGCTGTGAATACTCAGAATAAGATCTCTGACTGCAGACTGGATACAGTACATCTCGGAAGGGCTAGCTCTGGAATAACATCTCTGGGCGCAAATTGGATGACATCTCGGGGAGGCACACTGCCGTGAGTTCTCAGAATCGGCTCCTTGAGCACAAGAAATGACAACATCACAGAACGCAAGTATGGCGAAGCTCGCGGCTCTCCAACGGGAGATTGAGAGACCAGTGTTGGACTGTAGAACTGCTTTGAAATTCATATGAGCTGTTCGCACTAAAGTAAAAACACCATCACTTCATGCGGATACCCCTTTCGGCGCCAGCTGCGGTCTCAAGGCTGGAGCCGAACAAAAACACCCTGATAACGACTGTGTTTAGTCTGTTCCTTCCCATTCCATGCAAGGCCACCTGGGTTGGCTGGAAGACTGTTTACTTAGCCTAGCAGGGCGAAGGACACTGTCTCAGCTGAACTCTGGACACGCACACACATACATATACACTGATATGCACACACTCATCCCCCCTCCCTTTCCAAACGCCTTCGACTTATTCCCTTCCGATGCTGACGGTGGATCAAGGAGACCAGCGCACAGGCTGCAGGCCCGGATGTACTGTCTAAATCGGCTGTCTCTCACCCTTTACCCACCCCTGTTGCTTGTCATGTGTTTCTTTGGTGTATTAAGAGTTTTTTCATGTGCTATGTGCAGAGGTGTTTTTTTCTGTTCTCAAACTGATCTCCCTGTTGGAGCTCAGTCTGGGGGGAGTTATTTTTTTCTCCTTATCTTTCCTCATGTGGTGCATTTTCCATTGTTATACCTCTCTGACCTGTCTTCCCCATAAGATAAGATAAGATAGAACTTTATTAATCCCTCGGGTGGGTTCCTCTGGGAAATTCGATTTCCAAAAAAAGCACAGCACCGACAGAAGTTACAGAGTTACAGATTATTTAATATAATATATATTATAATATATATATATATATAATTAGTATATACACACACACACACACACACATACACACACCTCATCACACACACACACACTACACACACACACACACACACACACACACACACACACACACACACACACACACACACTATATATAAATACAGAGACATAATAAATATACGAAGGGGATAAATAGAATAAATAGGAATAAAAAATAAAAATACAAGTGAATTGCACATTTCAAGTATTGAGGTCTATTGCACTGTTGACTATTTACAAAAAGTATTGCACAAGGTATTGTACAGTGAGGTGAAGAGGCACTACAGCTTAGTTGTTCCCCCCTCCTTTGTCCTCCTGTCTCCCCTCCCTCTCCCCTCCAGAGAGGAGTTAAACAGTTTGATGGCGTGTGGGACAAAGGAGTTTTTAAGTCTGTTAGTTCTTGTCTTGGGGAGAAGCAACCTGTCACTGAACAGACTCTTCTGGTTGTTAATGGCCGTGTGCAGAGGATGCCTGGCATTGTCCATAATGTCCATCAGTTTCTTTAATGTCCTTTTCTCTGCCACTGTCACCAGAGTGTCCA